TAAATAAATAATGACAATATAACAATAAAAAATAATGCAAATCAAAAATAATACAGTATAACAACTATTTACATAGCATTTACATTGTATGAGGTATTGTAAGTAATCTTGAGATGATTTAAAGAATATGGAGGATGTGTATAGATTATATGCAAATACTTTGTCACTTTTATATCAGGGACCAATTTTTATTTATACCAGTATTCATCAATTCTGGTATTCGGGGGGGGGGGGTCCTGGAACCAATCCCCATGGATACTGAATGACAACTGTATACTTATTCTAAGATTAGTTTTGGACCTTTGTTTCTAGGACAAATGGAGATTTCACATGGGACTTGGGCAGCAGAAGTTAGGGCTGGCAGATTTTACCTGGTGAATATCTCTGGAGGCGTGAGGGAAAATGCATTAATTATTGCATCATTTTGTAGGGTATTTGTGTTTACTAATACTGTAAATAAAAAATGACCAGCTGTGTCCTTACAGTGTCTTGTTACATGTGGACAAGGGACAAAACAGCGGCAGGTATGGTGTCAGCTGAATGAAGACCACTTAAGTGATGGCTTCTGTAGTCCAATGACCAAACCTGAATCTCTGAGACCATGTGAGCTTCATGCATGTGCTTCCTGGCAAGTAGGACCATGGGGTTCTGTGAGTATATGCTATGGGTTTTTCTGATTTGATCCATTTTTACAGAATAGCACAATTATGATATATTTGCTCTCCCTTTAGTAGATGCAATGAAATTTGGGTTGGCTTATTAGAAAAATACCCCCAAAATGTGAATCTTTATCTGCAAAATTTTGACAGTACTGCAAATTTCACTGTAGTAAATATTTCACCTTTGCTTTTGAATTCACTTTTGTTAACCAAAATGCTACAAATTTTATGCTTTTATCAGCTTTGTTTAAATTACAAATATTTTCATGTTTAGTGTCAATATCTCTGTTTAGAGTAGGCATTGTTTAGATGTCTTGCCAAACAGGTAGTTAGGAGTCTGTAGGATGAGGAAAAGTCAGGCTGGATGAAGGTGGGTAGCTTATCCTGTGGAGGTTGCCACAGGTTTTTTTGGAGGGGTTTTTTGTTTGTTTTTTTTTTTTGGTTTTTGTGTGTTTGTGTAGAGTTGTGAGTATTTTTTTCATTCTTTCTTTTCTTTCCTTTTTTTTTATTTTAACATAGTTGATTATACATATCTGTGGGGTACAGAGTTGAATATCATCACCAGTGTGCAATATATGATGCTCAAGTCAGGATAATTAGTATATTCAATACTATACAATGCAATCAGAGGATGCCACAGTTTATGGGAAACCTTCTTTCATCTTCCCTTTATCATACACTATTCCTTCTTTATCTCTTTGAAATTTACTTAACATATTAAATGACATATGAGTACTTCAAAAAGTTCATGGAAAGATTCACATTGTCTAAAATACCTAGGAATAAATAACCAAGGAGGTGAAAGATCTTGACAATTAAAATTACAAAACACTGATGAAAGAAATGAAAGAGAACACAAAAAAATGGAAAGATGTTCCATGTTTATGGATTGGAAGAATTAATGTGAAAATGTCCATACTACTCATAGTGATCTACAGATTCAATGTAATCCCCATCAAAATACCAATGACATTCTTTCTTCACAGAAATAGAAAAAACAATCCTAACATAAATATGGAACAACAGAAGACTCTGCATAGCCAAAGCAATTCTGAGCAAAACAAATAAAGCTAGAGGCATTACACTACCTGACTTCAAAATATACTACAAAGCTACAGTACCCAAAACAGCAAGGTACTAGCATAAAAACAAACACATGGACCAACAGAGCAGAATAAAGAACCCAGAAATCAACCCACATATTTATAGCTCACAGATCTTTGACAAAGATGCCAACAATATACATTGGGGAAAGGACAGCCTCTTCAATAAATGGTGCTGGGAAAACTGGATATATATGTGGAGAAAAATGAAACTAGACCCATACCTCTTGCCATATACCAAAATCAACTTAAAATTCAAACTATAAAACTCCTGGAAGAAAACATAGGGGAAACAATTCAGGATGTAGGACTGGGCACACTTTCTGAATAAGACCTTAAGCACAGGAAATAAAAGAAAAAATAAACAAATGGGATTGTATCAAACTAAAAAGCTTCTGACAGCAAGGAAACAATCAACAGAGTGAAAAGACAAACTACAGAATGGGAGAAAATATTTGCAAACTATTCATCCAACAAGGGATTAATATCCAGAATATACAAGAAACTCAAATAACTTAATAGTAAAAAACCAAATAATCTGATTAAGAAATGGGCAAAGAACCTGAATAGGTATTTCTTAAAAAGAAGACACACAAATGGCCAACAGCTATATGAAAAAATGCTGAACATCACTAATCATCAGAGAAATGCAAATCAAAACTACATTGAGATATCATCTCACCCCAGTTCAACTGGTTATTATCTAAAAAATCAAAATAACAAATTCTGGTGAGGATGTGGTGGAACAGAAACCCTCCTACACCATTGGTGGGACTGTAAATTAGTGCAGCCACTATCGAAAACAGTATGGAGATTCCTCTAGAAAATACAGATAGAAGTATCAATTCAGCAATGCCACTGCTGGGTATATATCCAAAAGAATGGAAATCATCATGTCGAAGGAATACCTGCACTCCCATGTTTATTGCAGCTCTATTTACAATAGCTAAGAGATGGAGTCAACCTAAATGCTCATTGACAGATGACTGGATAAGGAAAATGTGGTATATATACACAGTGGAAATACTACTCAGCCATAAAATAAAAGAATGAAATTCAGCCATTCACAGCTGCATGAATGAACTTGGGGAAAATTATGTTAAGTGAAATAAGCCAGTCACAGAAAGGGAAATACTACATGTCCTCGCTCATAAAGTGGGAGCTAAAAAAATAAATAGAGAGAGACAGAGAAAAAGAAAAGAAAGGAAAGGGCAAAGGAAAGGGAAAGGAAAGGAAAGGACAGGGAAGGATAGGAAAGGAAAGGAAAAATAATATGTTGAACTTTCAGAAGGAGAGGACAGAACTGTGATTACTAGAGGTGGGAAAGGATGAGGGGGAAAGGGGATAGTGAGAAATTGGTTAAAGGACACAAAACAGCTAGTTAGGAAAAATAAGTACTATTGGTGTAGAGTTGAGCTAGGCATCTGTAATTAACATTAATTTACTGCATGTTATCAAATGGCTAGAAGAGAGGAGATAGAATATTCTCATCACAAAGAAATGATTAAGCTTCGTAATGATGAATATGCTAATTATCCTGATTTGATCATCACACAATGTATACAGGTATTGATATTCAACTCTGTACCCCAGAAATATGCATAATCAATTACATTTCAATTAAAAGAGGATTTGTAGTACCTTCATACATACACCAGGTAAATTTTGAAGAGTATTTCATTTCCCTAAGTTGTATTGACTCTGCCTCTAATGATATTTTTACATGATAACTTTTTAGGATACAATAATAATTGTATATCTAGTTACTTTCAGTATTTTATTGATATTTACACAATAAATCTGAATAAATATGCATACTGATTGAATTTGCTAATTTTAAGTTTTGAATCTCGTATAAGGATTAGTAAAGAACTACTGAAAGTATGTTATTAACTGTGTATTCATCAAGAAAATGAAAGTTTATGTAATTTTTGGAAAACAGGTTTTTTAAATATCTACTATATTCCTCTTTCAGTGCACAGCCACATGTGGACACGGGTATCAGATAAGAGCAGTTAAGTGTGTCAGTGAGCTATTTAGCACAGTGTTAGATGATGAGGAACAGTGCCACGGAGCCAGTCGCCCGAGTGACAAGCAGGTAAAAGACACCCCTTCATGGATTATAAACAAAAAGATGAGATACAGGAAGATTATTTATGTGTTAAAATTCTATATATATATTTTTTCACTTAAATTTTTTAAAAACTAATGTGTGTGTATCTGTATAAGAGGGAATTTATTATTCTTGGTTTGGCCAGCTTTATAGCTTTATTAATGAAATTTTTAACTCTTTGGATCACTCATTTAACTTGTATTTTTCCATTGTTTGAACTGAAGAAGATATATCTATTGTTATGAATATCATGAACTTCTAAAGTACATTATATGTTTGTAATTTAGTGTGTGACTTCTTGAATTTGACATACGGAAGAAGAAATGAAGTATTGAATTTAATGTAAATCAGAGGGATTACTTAATTGATGTCTTATGAGATCTATTTTTCTTTTGAACAGGACTGTATAGTTACACCTTGCCCATTTATCCCTAAAATTGGGGTCACTTCATTACCGGCTCTTCCCATAGGAAAGATAGCACAATGGAGACATGGTTCTTGGACCCCAGTAAGTGAATTTCTTTAAGAGATACAGCTTTTCTATTATGGACCTTTTAGATATCAACAAAATCGTTGCTACAAATTTGACAAATTAATGTATGCATTCATTCTCAGGTGTTTGATGGTATAGAAGAAACATAGGGTTTAGAATTAGGTCATTAATGGCTAAGTCCTTCTCTACCTTTTGAGATATCTGTGTCTCTGGACAAGAAATTTAAGTTTTTCTGAGTCTTTTTCCCAATTTACAAAATGGGACTAATAATAATATTTATGTCACAGGTTGTTATGAGAAGATGTGATATTAGTTTTTTATTAGCTTTTATTTAAACTACAAACATTTTTATGTTGTTTTTCAAAACTGAAAGCTTTAATGTATGTGGAGTATATACTTTGCTTTAATCTTATATGGAATATATATTTTTAAGCTTCACATATTCTCTGAATATTTTAATTATGTAATATCAATTCTGTATAATGCTTAGTTCTTTCAAAGTTATTTTTAATGATATCTTAAGATTCTCTTACATAAAATATTTTCAGTATCTTTAGTTTTGGCAAAGCACCAACCATTATTTTTAAACCATTATATTTACATATAATTCAAATTATATCTTATTCGTGAAACTTATGATCTAAAGTGATTGGGATATTCACTACTCCATCTTTATTTGACATAATAAGTGATACCAGGTGATATTATTTATAATTTAAATTTTCTCAAGAAACTTGATGTTTTAGAAATGTAATAGCTACATGTAAGAGATCTTGGGAGAGGTACTATGTAACATCTTGGTATAATTTGATTTTTTTTAAGTGTTCCGTGTCTTGTGGAAGAGGTAATCAAGCCCGCTATGTAAGCTGTCGTGACGCTCATGATGGAATAGCAGATGAATCATATTGTGCCCACTTACCTCGACCTGCTGAAATATCTGTCTGTTTTAGCCCTTGTGGGGAGTGGCAAACAGGGAATTGGTCACCTGTGAGTATTTTTATGGGGAAAAAAATTAGACATAATATTTGATATTTAATATAATATTAATGTAGTATATTATATTGTAAATGTTGGCTAAATTGTCATCAGTGTTCAGCTTCCTGTGGCCACGGACAGGCAACTCGACAAGTTTTATGCATCAATAACCATCAGACAATTGATGAGAGTTACTGTGACCCTGAAGTTCGCCCTCTGATAGAACAAGAATGTCACCTGGCAGCCTGCCTGCCCACATACAGTCACTTTCCGAGTTCCTCTGAGCAGCCAAGCCATTTTCCAGGCAGGAATTTTCCATTAACTCACAAACCCGAAGATAAGCAAAATCCGGAGGTCCATCCGTTTGTCAGAGAAAGCCAGTGGAGAACAGGACCGTGGGGATCAGTAAGCCGTCTTTATTGAGTTATATGAATTCTGTAATTTTGTTATATCCTTTTAACAGTTAGTTTTCCATTAACTCACAAACCCGAAGATAAGCAAAATCCGGAGGTCCATCCGTTTGTCAGAGGAAGCCAGTGGAGAACAGGACCGTGGGGATCAGTAAGCCGTCTTTATTGAGTTATATGAATTCTGTAATTTTGTTATATCCTTTTAACAGTTACGTGTATATAATGATAGCAAATGCTTTTAATGCCTAATTTATCTGAAGATCAATACTTTAAATCTTAAAAGGATTAAGCATTTTTGATGCAGATTACAAACCCCCAGAGTTCTTACAAAATTAAACAGTAATGTGATATTATGATTACAGAGGAATGCACTTAAAAACAATTTGATTAGAGTCCATTAAAATAAAAATAAAATAAAACCCTTTAAGAGGTAAGACTATAAATGTTTATGAAAAAGAAAAACCCGAAACCAAGCTTTCTGTGATAGCAATGCAATAAACTGTTGTAAAATCATGATAAACTACAAAACATGCAATTGTAGTTCATATTTTTCATGCGATTAATGATAGAAAATAAAGAAAAATATTAATAAAAAAGTTAAGAATTTAATGCTGCCTTTCATTTTTTATTTCTTCATAGTGAGGCCTTATAACTATAATTTCTTTTTACTTAACACTTAGGACGAGGATGAAGGATTATTTTCTAATGATGTGGGATCTGCTGTGCATGTGTATCTCTGTGTTTTGTCTTGTCAGTGTTCCAGCAGTTGTGGCGGAGGTCTTCAGCGTAGGGTCGTGGTCTGCCAGGATGAAAATGGACAGAGTGCCAGTTACTGCGATGCAGCCTCCAAGCCCCCAGAGTCAAAGCACTGTGATCCAGGGCCCTGTCCTCGGTGGAGCTACGGGAGCTGGGGAGAAGTAAGTCATGATATTTCCCCAACTAATGGAGATTGTTACATCTCTGAGGACTGAAAGTAATGCACTCTATACTGATAGTATTGTTGCATAATCTTAGGTCACTATACTGTACTAGAGATAGTTTTTTACTGAGTGATTAAAACTATGTTCTTTTAGTAGCCTTTCTGTCATGATTTAAGTCACTCATTCATGGTAGAAAATACATATTCCAGATTTTTGAACAGAACTTAATATGCTAGCCAACATGTTGGTGAAATGCTAATATCTGTCTAAAATTAGGACATTATTGTTTTAATTTCTTAGAAAATTAGATTGATAGAAAATAGAAAACTGGGTTGATATATAGACCATGTTTTATTCCATTACTAAGATATTCATTTGGTGAATCTTTTTCTTTAAGCCAGATAGTTGTCAATTATTGAGCACTCATGCCTTGGCACTCTCTAGATAATGGAAATATTAAGATAATTTTTTAAATGGTCATTTTAAATACTAATCTCACCATATTTTGAACAGGAAAGAATAAGAAACAAAGATTTATATTAGCTTTGGATGAATAAAATAAATTACCTAATTTAATTAGTCAAATATTTTTGCTTAATGATTTTTAGCACATAATTTCTCTTCATAGGAAATTTGGAAATCATTGTTTTAAAAGGTACACTTCTGACCAAGCACTAATAAACATGAAGCACCTTTTAAAAATACACTTTTACTATTTATCAACATTAAAATGACCTTTTAATTTATAAGTTTACACATGCTCATTTTGAAAACTCATATCATATGAAAAAAATAGAAAGAGTTAAGAAGTTTTAGCCAGACTTTTTTTCTATATGGATTTTAGAAATAGGTTCATATTATACATGCTGCTTTGCTACCTGCTGTTTTCATATAAAATACACCAAATATCTTCCCATGTTTGTAACATTAGGTCTATCTTATTAGCTTTCATGGCTACATAGTAATCAATTGATTGGATACCATACGTTATGTAATTAATATTTATTGCTTAGGTAAATCAATTATTTCTGGCTTAACCTGTCAACAATATCTTATAGAGCATTAATATCTTATTGAAATATCTATAGTACTAATTCTTAGAATTTTGCCAATTTTTTCAAGCATGGAATTAACACTTTGATATATACCCAGGGAGAAATGATGAGAATTATGAAGAAATGATAAACTTTAAACCCCAACATTGCTAATTATGTTTAAACGTTGAATAAAGAAATATTCTATGTAAATCTACATTGATTTGAATTTTCCTATTCTTGGTTTTAGTGTACACAAACATGTGGAGGAGGAATAAAATCAAGATTTGTAATATGTCAGTTTCCCAATGGCCAAGTGTCACAGGAGCACAACTGTGAAATCTTAAACAAGCCGCCTAGTGTGGTACAATGTCATGTGCAAGCTTGCCCTGATGACGTATCATGGCATCGGGGATCATGGAAATCGGTACGATAGTATTATATTCATATCTGTTTTGTTCTGTTTTATTTCATTATGTTCCTTTTACTTTAATTTTCTCTCTTTATAAATTGTGGAATGCACACACTATATCTTCCCTGATTTTTTTTTTAAAGCAGACCATTGGCCATCTTGGCTTGTATTATTAAATTTGAGTTTGGAAGAGGAATTCACTTAATTTCAAGTACTGTAATATAAATAATAATTTTATATGTATTTATTTTTTAATATGTGAATTTTGAACCATACCACTATTGTAATGAAAATATCTTTCTTCATTATATCTTTGGCTTGTCCTCTAATTAATCAGAAATGTTTCACTATTTACATTTGTATATAATGTTAACATTGTGTTTGTAACAATGGCAAATTAAGGCTGTGTCTTGTTTGAGCATATAATTGTATGTGGCTTTTGTCTGTCAATGTCCAATAACTGATCCAAAACCAAATAACATTCTTTAAAACTTGTTTTTTTATCATTGTTAAGCTTATTATTTTGTTTGAAATGTGAAAATATCATATTAAAGAAAAGACAGAGAAATTTACTTACATAAAGTAAATTGTTTAGTTTGTTACATACATCATGAAAAAGTATGATTATATGATTATTTATATGAATATTCATTTCTTCCACTGTGTGGAGTTACTGTGGTTTGGGAATATTTTAATTTTCTGTTATTTTTCGAAATGTGAAAATATCATATTAAAGAAAAGACAGAGAAATTTACTTACATAAAGTAAATTGTACATCATGAAAAAGTATTATTATATGATTATTTATATGAATATTCATTTCTTCCACTGTGTGGAGTTACTGTGGTTTGGGAATATTTTAATTTTCTGTTATTTTTTTAGAGTCATAGACAAAATATATAAATTTTGTTTATGAGTAGTTTATTTTCTCTAGTGTGCTTCAAATACCCAGATGGCGTTGAAGAATAATTAATATATAAATAGGCTGAAATTAGCATTTTGATCACCTTTGATCTTTTAAATCATGAACAAATCAGTACATTTCTTTTAAGTGAAAAAGGGATTTGAATTTATAATCCATTTATAATTAAATTTATAAAGTTAGTCAGTTCTTTCTTTGGAAAATAATTATTTCATGTTTTATAACCAACCTTGATGCCTGCGCTTGCTTTGTTTTGCCCAAGTCAAACCTTCACAATGAGATGTGAACCCAAGTTTCAAGTCATACATACTATTTGAAGAGTAGGTCAAGTTCTGGTTCAGGCTGAAATTCATTTTTATAGTCAAATAGTGACTGGTGATATAAAACAACAGAATATTTTAACTCTATAGGAGAATCGTAAAGTAAAATTGGTGCTTCAGAGAACCATCACTTTGTGGGAACTAAAGAAAACCACATATTTTGCCACAGAAAGCATTCACATATTTATTTAATAAATGTTTACTGACCATCTACTGTATCCCAGGCACTGTGCTACAGAGATAATTAAAACATATTTCCTAGCCATGTGGAATTTATACTCCGCTTGCAGAGGTTTGAAATACTGTAGGAACTCACCATAAAAAATATTTATATTAGCCATCTTTAGATAAGAAATTCATTTTCTCCTTACTATATCTCTGTTACATTTTCTTTCATTTTATTGATTTTAGTTTGCAGGACTAGTTCTTAATAAGGCTATGGATTGCCTTCTTGGAATTTTGCCCCAATTAGGAAAGCAGAATCCTTATCACAGATTAGAGATTGAATTGTAATGGCATTTGTTTCTGAGCATAAAGATTTTATTTTTCCTACTTATGACTTTAATTCACAAAGCATTAAACATTTACTTAATGTCTCCTGCTTTGTGCTAGGTATTGAAGCAACTAAAATTAAGTGTTTTTGAGTCAGATTTTCTATTTCATAGGTCAGCAAACTATATGACCCATGGACCAAATCTGGTCCACTGCCTTTTTTTGTAAATAAGTTTTATTGGAACGGTCATGCTCATTCGTTTATGTATTATCTATCACTAGTTTTGCACCACAACAGCAGAGTTGATTAGTCACAATAGAGACTATATGATCCCCAAAGCCTGAAATATTTACTATTTGGCTCTTTCTGGAAAAAGTTTGCTGACTTCTTTTCTATTTTATTTTTGGTTTAACATAAAAATTTACTTAAAGATATAAAATATTGAAGTCATTGATATTCATTTTGGGTCAGTTTTAGATTTTTTTGATTCTTTGGTATCTGAAAACATTTTCAGGTTTCTCAACATTCTCTACATATCCACTATGGTATTCACACAATGTTTATATATTGTGTTGGAATGTATATAATACTATATTCCAACATTTTTGTGTCATGCTATATTTTTGTACGTAAATGACATTACAAGTGAAAAACCTGGATTTTCATTAATGTCCTATGCATAGATGACTTTTTAACCTCACAAAAACAAATGACAAAGAAAAAAATAATAACTACAAATTACAAATAGTAAAGCAGAAGTATAGAATTCTTCATTGTTTACTATGTCTACTCCAAAAGGAGTTTTTTGAATAATTCAGTTTTTGCACTAGTGAAGAACTGTAATATCTTTATTTTTTTGATAAATTGAAGATGAAGAAGTTTTAAAAATCACAATAAATGTTTATATCAGAATTTTTACAAATTTATTTATTTACCTTTTTATATGTGTAAAGTATATATATATATATATATAATTAGAGTGCCTGGATTTCTTTTATTATGTGAAGAATATTTATTTGCTAAGTTAGCCTTTTATATTAAAAGGGTTTAGGGGATCTGAAGTTTTGTTATCAAAACCAGATATAACCTTTTACCTCTTTCAGTGTTGCTATATATTAGCCAAACTTCAGAGTACCTCTTATCAACATATCAGGTTAATATTCTTTCATGGATAACTTTAATTTCAACAGATCCTGTTCACTAAGTTAGGAAATTAAGAGGGTATGCATGTACATGTGCATATGTGTATGAATGAATGACATGAAATTTCAGAAACATTTTTTATTTTAAAGCGAAAAAAATTAGGAAGTGCAAAATCATTTAAAATATCATTAGAAAGTTGTAATAATACATTTAAATTTTCTCCATGTTGTGGGAAATCTTTTGCTGTAATAATGAAAGGGATAAATAAATCTTAACCTATGTCTGTTAATTTAATGACTGCATTTTTGTGATTAGTCAATGTGAAATGATTGTATTTTAACCTCTGTTTATTAATGCTATGTATTGTGGCTTTGTGCTTTGCGTAATTCCTGTGTATGTTGTAATTTTACTCCTTTGATCAATATCTAAAATGTTTTAAGTCAATAAACAGATCTTGTATTGTAATGAATACCTCCTTTCTTTTGGTGGTATTTTTCTTAAATAACAAACTGTTAATTTCTCCTATTAAACATTTAACTGTCGAATAGTGTATGTTTTCATAATTTCACTTAATATATGTATAAGCCACTGTTATTTTTCACGCACTATTCCTGTGAGAAACTAACACTGGGTTTAAAAGTATAAGATTTATTGTTTAGTTGTCAATTCTTAAACTTAGAAATTTTTATATGTTTTCTTTTATATATTTTAAACAGTGAATAAAAATTAATGATGTAGACAAATTTATTTAGTAAGTTAAAAATAGATGTGCTCATGACCAAGGTAGTCTTTAAAAGGTGGGTAAAATTTTTACTTTTCTCTTTCATACATAGTAAGGGATATTACATGTAACATAATTGAACTAGCAAATGCTCTTTAAGTAAATTTATTTTAATCAATTCATATTTTCTCCCTGTCTCATTCAAGAAGTGATTCATTTTCCTGGAGTACTTTTATTCTCTATATAAAATGAAATCTTATTTGGTAAACAAATAATATGCATTCCAGTGTGTTCTGGGGTTGATGACTCTCCAGCAGAAGTAAAAAGAATATATATATATTTTTTCTTTCTGCCCTAAATATTTTTTTCTCACAAAAAAGGAGTTGTTTTTAAAAAATGAAAGCTTGCTACTCAAACCCTCTTAATTCTAGTGCTTTCACTCAAAGCATTCCTTTTTTAAAAATAATGTTCTTTCTTCTGTAGCATTGTGCAGAAAAAAATACATACTATATTAAATCTCCGATATGATACAACGGAATGCAACGAACAGAAGTGCTTTCAGAAATGAACATGTGGTAGCAGCCCACACCCAGTAAATCTAAAGTGTGTCACTTTGTCAAAAGAATACTGGGGGTCTGAGCAAAGGGGTTGGCTGCTTTTTTCCACTGTAGCTCCCACTCAAGGTGAAATACACTGAGGAAGAAATTTGTTACTACCTCCATGCTTCTAAGGCCAGCAGCAGCCAGGGGGAAAGATGATGTGTGGGGAAATGGTTTCCAGAAACTGTCAATTCTTTATTTTGATTTTGTAAAGTAGAGTGTTCAGTAAAAACATTTATAGTAATTAGTTATTTTGGAAAAGGCACACATAAGTGTAGTAAGTAGGTTGGAAATCTATTTTTATATAAATTTATCATAGAAATATTTAAGTATTGAAACAGTGTTTCTACTCATTGTGTTTATTCATATCCTTCTAAAGTACATGCATTGATTCTCCCCCAAATTATAAGTATTTACCACAAATTAGGCATGTTGCTAATCACTAGAAAGAAACCAGACACAGTTTCTGTGTACAAGGAGTTTGCAGTTTAGTATTGAAGGTACTGAATAAACAGATGAGTCGAATGCAGGGCGGATTACTATCCCATTACAGTAACAACCATGTGATTTATCATATTAAAGATTCATAATATGATAATATACACAGTTTCTGTGTACAAGGAGTTTGCAGTTTAGTATTGAAGGTACTGAATAAACAGATGATTCGAATGCAGGGCGGATTACTATCCCATTACAGTAACAACCATGTGATTTATCATATTAAAGATTCATAATATGATAATAAATTATTTTAAAGACAATATTTTAATAGGTTAGAATAATTGAAGAATTAGTACTGAGGATTGTACTTGTACTTGACACAATAATTCTGTCATGAGTTTGTTCTAGAAAGCCTAAACTAGTAGGATACATTTCATCAGAACCTGTCAAGATATGACGGGTATCCCAAGTCCCTACCTTAGAATAGTTTTGTTTTTGCCTAATTGCAGCATCTTTCTTTTCTGCACATGTAGATTTAATGCTTAACCAAAAGGGAAAAACCTGGATAGATTTATAGTTTGCCTTAAATATGATGCTTCGAAAATAATTTATAGACACAATTGGGCCCTGTGGGTTTGTAATGTGTGACCTAGGAAAAATTTAAGTAGATACTCCAAGTAATGATGAGATCACAAAAGGAGACACTGTGTGTGTGTGATAATATTGAGTGAAGTTAGAATTTAGAGTATAAAATGACTGTAAAAAACATCCCAACCTGAAATGGTGATAGGACATATTTTTTTCTTTGTATTTCCATGATAAAGAAAGTGGAAATGCCCGTGTTTCTATGGTAATTCTCCTACTTTCATGAGATAATGCTTCAGAATGTTTAAGAATCTCTGGAAATAGATTTAGATGTTTTTAGATGAAAGATTCCTCAGTGTTCTACAATATTTATGTGCTACCTGTTAAGACTGTTTATATAAGATATGTAAGCATTGTTAGTATTAGTGCATTTAGATATGCTAAATTTTTGTTTTAGAACTTTTATGTGTTAACTTTTAGTAGGCTGAGAAAATCTTTTTAGTTTCTAAATATTCACAACACGAAGACATTAATATTCTTGTGTCTGTTGCCTGACATTTTCTAGCCAATTGATTTCTAATTTTTTGGTCATACATATCTTTCTCAGTAAAAAGTTTTAAGCATGTGCCCTTATATATTTTATTACATATTTATACATTACATACATAAACTAATATGTGCTAAATAATTATGTGGTTTACAGAACATATGCAAATATTAATTATAAAGGATAAGTTGAATATTTAATATTAAAAATAATATTTATTTTATGAGTAGTAACAAAATTCTCTCACTGAACTATTGTTTATAACCATCTCATTTTTAAAAAGTGGTAGAATATGTTTTATTTGTTTTGGTTCAATGCTGTGTTATAGCAGTTCAAAAATCTGGTTTATTTCAATATGTGGTTTCAGAAACTTAAATAATTGAAAAAATGACCTTACAAAAATACCTTCTGAACAGCAAAGTTTATCATGGGGTATTCTTGTTGTATACTAGTAATTGATTTTAAATCCAATTATATCAATTACTCAAAAAAAATTTTGAAATTTGCCTCACAAATTTCCATTTTCCATGATGCCATTCAGTTCTTGAAAAGTACTGGAAGGAGTTATATATATTTTTATATTTTAGCAAATAGCTTTAAAACTCAATGAAACTTTGAAAGATTTGGAAGTCATTTAAACAGATCAGAAAGTTTTGGTTTAGAGTCTTTTTAAAATATACACTTGTCAAAATTGCATAACATAAGGAACATTTCCAGATATTTCAGAATGTACTGTTTTTAGTAGAAGGAGATTCCAAAAGCA